GACCCGAGCTCTGACACATGACAACGACTTTTGCTGCAAACGGAAAACAGCCATAGATTTGCACAATGATTGCACGCGAAGGCATCTGTAGATGACAATACTTCTGGCCCATTGCCTGCGAATTACAGCTTTCACAGTTTTGGTATGGACAGGGAGCAGGTACCGAGGCATGCGGCAGACATCCAGAGGGGCTGGACACCAACTCGCAATCCCCCGACAGGGCGACGGTTATGTCATGGGCGGCAACGATTTCGTGCCGGAGGCCCCGCTTGAGATCCCCCTCCCATTGATCGACAAAGGCTTGCCCTCACCTCGCAATATCACCCCCAAGATTCAGCATATCTGGCCCGCTGCCTTGGATGATATATTGGGCCTAGGCCCTGACCTGCCGACGCTCTGCCCCGAGCACGCTCGACCGTGCACCCTCGTCGACTGAATCCTCAGAGCGTTCAATGGCGGTCCAGAGTCGGCATCCCGACTATCCCCGAGGACATGCATGCGCACGGTATTCCTAATCTCCGACCTGCCGCCCGCGAGACAAATGCAGCTTAATCGGCAGCCCATCCCGAAATATCGACTGCACGACTGTCCAAAATATACGGCCGCCTGCAATCTGATGGTAGAGCAGTCTGGCATGGCATAGCTCTCCCCAGTGGCGAGGTGGCAGGAGTCCAAACGCCTTCAGCGGGCAGCTGTTGCTTTTCAGGCCCACTTCGAGTTCACCAATCCCACATCGCGTTCGACTGATGCGGCTCTGAGAGCGACCTGACGCAGGGATATGGCTAACAACTCGGCACCCAGGCCAGACGGACTTCCTTGCGCAGCGCGGAAACGTCCCCCTGGTCTTGCGCAGGCACGGTTAAACGCGACATAGGAGGCGGTGAGCCCTTAGATCTTCGCCTCGCAAGGTAAGTTGCGGAGTGACGACTAGCTGGTCTGCCGCACGGCCATGACGACCCGCTCTCTTTCTTTCAAGGGAAGAAATATTTCGGGCCTTAAAGTAACGGCGGCCAAGGGCAATGACCGGATCACATCCGTCAGCGCGCAGTATTTGATCCCACCTATCAGTGCGACGGGGGGCGCTTAATGCACAGAGATGCTTATTCATGGGTGTCTGCTTACAGAGCGCGCGGCGACCCTCGATGCCCAGGGCGGCATCGCGTCGACGCACAGGGAGGCGATCACCACAGACCTGCCCCCGCTGTGCCTCGACCTCGGCGACGCCTTCCTCTCTCCGCGCGCAGATTTGCCCCCCGCGCTGGCCCTGCAGCCCGCCAGCTTCCCCGAGGCGATCACGCTACATGGCCAGCGCGGCCTGCCGCCCCCCCGCGGCAAGCCCAGGCCTGGCCCTTTGGGCCGCCCGCGCGTCCTGCTGGCCGGCGCCAGCGATCCTGCGACAGGCCGCCCGCGGCCCCCCCGCGGGCCGCGGGCGCCCGCCGCGCGGAAAGCGTGCGTCGACCGTGCCGGGCAGCGGCGGCAGACGGCGACGGGCGCCCGCACGGGCGGCGGCGGCTCGGCGGCGGAGGGCTCACGCACGGTCGACCGCATGCGCTGCCGAGCGCCCGGCGCGCCTCGTTCACGAGGCCATCGAGCGCAACGGCCGCGCCATTGCCGCAAGCCTTCTGCTGGGCAGGCGGCCGCGTGCTGCCTCGACGAGGTCGGCCGAGCATCGCGGCGGCGCGCTTCCGGGGCCAGCGAGAGGCGGCAGCGCGATGGAGCGGCCTACCCGGCAGCGTACCGATGTAGGGCGCTCGAGCAGGGGCTTCGCCGACGAGGAGTCGAAGGAATCGGCATCTCTCCCCGGCGGAAGGCAACGGAAGATGGCGGAAGCGAAACGATGGCACTTCCGCGTAGGGGCGGGACTGGGGCACGAAGATTCCCCTTTGTCTTTGCTCGCTCTTCGTCGGGCACTTGGTTTTGCATTGTGCCTATACCAGCGCCGTCCTCACGGCAGACTAGAGCTGCACACGACACCTCTTGAGCCGAACGATCATTGGGGGGAGTCCGCGTCAGGAATGAAGGCCAGCGAAAGTTGACGGAAGTAAAGGTTGCACACCAGATCCATTTTGGAACCCGTCTCATGCGCCGACGAGTACACAATGACCTTATACAAACAGGGGGTTGTCACGCAGATCTCGTGCTTGTTCCAGCTGCCGAGGCGGCCACCCACCCCGCATGGACGCAGAAGTGGTGCCGTTCATCGCGCGCGGCATTTTCTTGCACGAGGCCATCATCGGCTACGAGTGTTTCGGGGTGGAGAACGGTCAGCCCGTAAACCAACGGCACTCGATGTCTAGAATCAGTTTATCCTTGTGATCGCTGCGAAGGAGACGACCTTGAACTGGGACGCCAGGCTGAGGAGACTGCAATGAACGGCATCCGACTCTATCCCCGTGAAGTTGCGCACGCGCGGGGCGCACGTGCCCCCCCTGCGCTGGACCGCCGAGCCGGCCGCCCCCACCACGGAGGCGGCGGCCAACGGGGCCCACGAACTCGCCTGGAGCGAGCCGTGCGCCGAGCCCCCGTCGCAACGGAGCGGCCGCACACGAGGCCGCGCTTGCAGACAGCTCAGGCCTCGCCCCTCAATGATGGGCGAGGCCCGAGCTGTCTGGAAGCGCAGAGGGCAGAGGAGGAGTATGACATGCCTCCTCCGCCCTCTGCCGATCTTCTGCCTCGCACCCTTCTGCCGCTCAGCTCGCGCTCCTCGGCCGAGCAGCCGATCGCACAGCCGATCGCCCCCCGCAGATCTCGAGTGAGCCCCGATCCGAAATCTCGCGGCCGCGCCCCTGAACCGCGGCGCGAGCGGCCCCAGCCGAAGCGCGGGTCGGAGGGGGATTGGCCACCAGCCGCCGCCTTCACGAATCCAGCGCGCTTCTCCCTGTATGCCTTCGGGCGCGACCTTGAGACGTGGACGGGGTACAGAGATCGCACGGTGGCACTCGGGTGTGCGATGCTGCTCGATGCAGCGGCGCACGCGCATGGCATGGCACGTTGGTTTTCACCTGCGCTGGCCCGGCATGGACTCACGGTAGTTAGCAGAATCTCCCGAGTTCTAGCGGCTATTTTTAGAGCGCGCAGCGATTGAATTTCACACGTATAACGTGCAGTGCCGCGCCCCTGGCGCATGACCCGACGTTGAGCGCGGGAATGCACGGAGGCTGAACGGCGACACTCGGTTGCTGTTTGCTGGCATCGAACTCGAGGGGCCGCGATGCTCAGCGGCCAGACTGGCCGCGCGAGTCGGCGCGCTCGAGGCGGCGCGGCAGCGCCGGGCGAAGTCTCCAATCTCGCGGCCGAGGACCGCGCGCGGACGCTGGCAGCGGCGCTCGCTTCTTGGCGTCGCGGCCGCGCGCGCACGGCGACACGGCGGAGGCAAATTGAAGAGAGCAGCCCAGGCAGAGAGTGCGCGCCGAGCCCTCACGCGGCAGCCCCGGCGAGGTGCGCAGAGCTCACCCACGGGGAGCCAGGCTGCGCGGCGACTGACGGAGGGCAGCGGCGCTCCCTCCGGCCTGAGGGCAGCCCAGCGCGAGCAGAGCTTCACTCTGACGCCCTGCCGGCGTGGGACGGGGTCAGGTTCCGAGGGCTTCCAAGGAGCGGGTCGCCGACGCGATGGCGGCCGCCGCGGCGTTTGCCCACGCTTTGGAGCTCGCGGAAGCCGCGCTGCAACGAGAAGCGCTTGGGGTGCGGGGGGAGCCTCGCAGCTCTCACGCAGGCCTGTCGCGAAAAGGGGAGAACGCGCTGGAGCGCAGTTGGCATAACATGTCAAGTTGGATGGGGCCAGCCCTGATGGAGATCGACTCTGCTGCCAAGGACAGGCAGAGACGATATGAAGAGGTCGACATGCTGCGGGAAGGCTGGACCCGATGGGAGGTCGGTTTGATGGCGACCTGGCGAGGGAATGTTGGCGACAGAGCCAAGGGCTTGACGATTGTGCCCGATGCGGCGGCATCAGAGAAAACTTTGACATGACAATCTCCAAGCCGTCTTGAGATACTTAAACCTGATCGCGCGAAAAGCGCAGACGCGCGTGGCCCTAAAGCATGTAATCATGTATTTCAAAAACGCCGCATTATTACCATTGTGCCACGGCGTTTTATGTCGCCATGTTTCCCGTAGATTGACCCACACACACACACACACATTGCTACGGAGTTCGGTTGTCGTTAAACAGGTTCGCGCTGCAATCGAGCATATTATCGACAGGTTGCTATTTTTCTTTCTCTCTCTCTCTCTCTCTCTCTCTCTCTCTCTTCCTATATCATTATGTCTCTCTATATTTATGTGTCCATCTCTCGCTCTCTCTCTCTCTCTCTCTCTCCCGTCGGATCTCTCTCTCTCTCTATCTCTCTCTCTCTCTCTCATTCTCTAGCTCCTAGCTCTAGCTCTCTCTCTCTCTCTCTCTCCTCCCTCACCCCTCTCACCTTTCGCAGCTTGGTATTTGCCTCTCGCGCGGCACAGCACACAGCATGTTCCAGAGGCCACAGCCTCCACCTGGTCTTCGCTAGGCCCGGACGCCTGCCCGCACTGGTTCGGGGCTCACGTAACGGGCGTCAGCGTTGACGAGGGTCGGTCAATACCCTCCGAGATCCTCTGGCTGACCCGTGTTTGGGCGCCACCTGGAGCCGACCCCGCTCCCCCCCCGCTGACTTGGGTTTGGGAGCTATTTAGTGTCCGGCTTGGCTTCGCGGCGTGGCCCTGGCTGGCCTGGGTTTGCGTTGACTTGGGTTAGTGCGTCCCCGATTGGTGGTCTCTCGTTTTCTGTCATTCTCCCTCTCCCTTTCCTTTTTATGTTTCTTCTCTCTCTCTCTCGTTACACGTGTCTTTCGAAGATCATGTGTATTGATGGGCACCGGTTGCGTACAGCATCGTAGGGTGATTCGAAAAAGAACATGCATGAGCACGAGCAGTAGCGGCAACGGCAGCAGCAGCAGCAAGAGCAAGATAATGAGCCACAATCCATCCACCTGGATATTCCCCCTGGGATCCGCTCAGCCGCCGAGGGGACGGGACACCACGCCTGTCTACGACCTGATGCTGCCCCGCGGACCAGCGGCAATGCAGGGCCTGCGGGTGTTACAGGATGCGGTGGACGCGCACGAAGCAGCCTGGCACGTGTCGAAGACGCCTACGGCGAGTCACCGCCGCCCCCTGTCTTTTAGAAGCGCGCGTGTCGTGAAATGTTGAGCGAAAGTGCGGCCACGCTAGTGGACAGCGTGTTCCCCGAGCCGGGAAACCATTGGGGCGAGCATTGGGGAGGAGGCCTCTGGGGTCGTCTGCGGGTTGTCTTGGAGCTCGTTTCTTGCATTCGGGGCTTTCTTGGGAGCCTACTGGAGCCCTCGTGGGCAATCCCGGGGCTTCTCTTGGGCCGTCGGACGCCTTCGGAGGCCGTCTTGAGGGCCTCTTTGTGCCGTCTTGGGGCCCTCTTGGTCCTGCTGGGCCCCTTTCGGACCGTTTCGAGCTAGTTTGGGAGGCTTCTTGAGCCAGCACGGATGCCCTTAAGACCGAGAAGGCGCGAACACGAAAATTCGTCAAAAAATTGCTGGGGAAACTCAGCCTGGTGTGTCTCGTCAGGCCATCTCAAGGGCCCTCTTGGAGCACTCGTGTAGAGTCTTGGAAGCCTCTTGGGCCGCGTTGTAGCCACCTCGGGTCGTCTGCGAGCCCTCTGGGGCCCTCTGCGAGCCCTCGGGGGCCTCGGGGCGCAAATGTTGCGCCATTTACTAAGGATCCTGGCCTCGGGGGCGCGAAACTAGTGTCATTTACGAGGGATCGTGGCCTCAGGGGCGCGAATCTCATGCATTTTGACCCACGGCCCCGCAGGAATTCTGACAACGCGCTTCGGGCGTTGAAAAAAGGCCTTTTGGGTCTCCCCCCCCTGGCGCGGACTTCAACAATGTACAGTAGGAAGTCGACCGTAGGATTATAATATGAGAGACTTGAAACTGGAACTGGAGCAGGGAGCAGCAAGCCTAACCCTCGCAGCCTGATGGGCCTCACAAGGGGGCCGGCGGATATACATATAGAGAGAGGGGGGGGGGGAAACAAAAAGAGAGAGAGAGAGAGAGCGAGTCAGCGAGTGGGAGAGACTCGTGGGGGGAAGGGGGCGAGAGAATTACAGAGAAGGAGGCAGCGGGGCAAAGCGGAGGGGGAAGAGGGAGTTCGGCTGAGCTTTGACCCGGCCGCTTCCAGTGGGTGCCCGCACCCCTCGGCCCATCGAGCCCTTCCTCCACTCGTCCTCCCTCCGGAAACGGTTCCCGCCGCTCCCTGAAGAAGTGGTTTCCCCGGCAGAGATCGTCCACGAGGGGTTCGCCAGCTCCTGGCACTCGGCGGAGCTGCCAGACACGTGCTCGGGGGCCCCAGACCCTCGAGGGCGGCCGTTCCGCGCTTGAACGCATGTCAAGCCACTGCGAGCACTGGGGAGCGCCCTCGGGGCGTTCAGCGAGACCCCTGGCCAGAGTGAGCCTCCTCCTCCTCCTCCTCCTCCTCCTCCTCCTCCTCCCTCCTCCTCCTCCTCCTCCTCCTCCTCCTCCTCCTCCTCCTCCTCTGGCACGGGCCAACAGGGACTCACAGAGCCACGCAGCAAAGGTCGCTCTTGCCTGGGAGTCGCTCTGCCACGTGGCCGAGGAGACCAGGCCGCCGACGGACTGGTCTCTTCAGTCCTCGGGCCTCGGAGGCCTCGACCCCCTCCTTTTCCGTCGGGCCGTTTGCCCCCCAGGTCCGCCCTTGATGGCCCCAGGGGCTCGACGACGGCCACCGAGGCCGACACAGACGGAAGCACGCCGGGGTTGAAAAAGACAATCCGCCAGAAGTTTGGGATTTGCCAACCCACAGACACCGACCTCTGGGCCTCTCCCGCGGAGCGTTCTAGCCAGAATCTCGAGGCGAATCCAGCCGCGGCGACAAGACGACTCCCAGAGGCCCGAGACGAGCGAAATAGACCTAAAGACTTCAATCCTCGAACTTCAGACCTCGATCCTTGAGGACGATCGCGGCGTCCGCGCTATGGCTGGGCTGCAGGGTGGCCCAGTGGAGACGGCGGCGCAGCGCGATTGCTCCGTGGAGCGCCTCGAGTCGCGGTCGAACAACGCCATCCGCGCCAGGCCCCCGAGGGCCTTCCTCTCCCTTCCTTCGGAGGGCGCCAGCAATGCACCTGCACCAATCCTGGCCAGGCCCATCATATGGGCCCAGGCTCGGTGTATGCGCCCTTCTGGCTCGGCGGGGAAGGCATCGACATGTCAATCCTGGGCCCAGGCCTCGCCTGGCCAGGATCTGTGCAGGTGTATAGTTGACACCCTCCGACTCCTCCTTGTTCGCTCGTTCGTCCTTGCGGACAGGGTCGGTCGATGGCCCGAGCAAGGGAACGGCATCACAGAAGAGGAGCAGTGTGATGAAGCGGTGCAAGTTTGCAACATGAAGCAAGCGGAGAGAAACGGCACTCACCCGTAGTCTGTCTCGAATCCTACATTATCCTCCTCCATCCTCTTCCATGCTCTTGTTCCTGTTGTTCCTGCTCCTAATCATCATAATCATCATACTTATCCTCATGCATCCTCCTGCTGATGCAGCTCCTCCCTCCTCCTGTTCCTTCTGCTCCTCCTCCTCCTCCTCCTCCTCCTCCTCCTCATCATCATCATCAGCAGCAGCAGCAGCATCCTCATCATCATCAGCATCATCCTCATCCTCATCCCCATCCTCATCCTCATCCTCACCACCACCACCACCATCATCATCATAATTATTATCCTCATCATCAGCATCATCATCTGCATCATCATCATCATCAGCATCAACAAGTTCGGACCACTTGGCAGCAGCATGCCTCGTGGTCTCTGGCGGAGCCCAAATCCCGCACCTTCCTGGCGATCGGGAATTTGACTACTCGGAGCTGACCTCACAATCTCATTTACACCCGCAAAGTTCGCAGCATCGGCAGACTCACGAGGGAAGACACCAGCAACACCAAAGTTGTTGGCGGGATTTAGTTCGCAATGACGCGCGATCGAGATCGCAACGGACAACCCGGCCTACTTCTCCACGCAACGCAACACGGGTACGTCCATTGATCGAGCATTCATTGCGATGCCGCCGGCGTTCCTGCCATGCTTGAGCTGCTCACTCGAGGTGAAAATGGATGCGCCTGTCCTCCTCCTCCTCCTCCTCCTCATCATCAGCAGCAGCAGCAGCATCAGCATCCTCATCATCATCAGCATCAGCATCATCCTCATCCCCATCCTCATCCTCATCCTCATCCTCATCCTCACCACCACCACCACCATCATCATCATAATTATTATCCTCATCATCAGCATCATCATCTTCATCATCATCATCATCAGCATCAACAAGTTCGGACCACTTGGCAGCAGCATGCCTCGTGGTCTCTGGCGGAGCCCAAATCCCGCACCTTCCTGGCGATCGGGAATTTGACTACTCGGAGCTGACCTCACAATCTCATTTGCACCCGCAAAGTTCGCAGCATCGGCAGACCCACGAGGGAAGACACCAGCAACACCAAAGTTTTTGGCGGGATTTACTTCGCAATGACGCGCGATCGAGATCGCAACGGACAACCCGGCCTACTTCTCCACGCAACGCAACACGGGTACGTCCATTGATCGAGCATTCATTGCGATGCCGCCGGCGTTCCTGCCATGCTTGAGCTGCTCACTCGAGGTGAAAATGGATGCGCCTGCTTTGGACGACGCCCGGCTCAGCGACCACGCAATCTTGATGCTCACGATCGTTCCGAAAAAGGCGCACACCACTACGGACCAAGCGATCCCAGATGTTGTGTTCCGTTCGATGCAGTACAAGACGTGGCTTTCCAAATTGATCAAGAATTTTGACTCCGCCAACATGACCGACCTGCGACGCTACGAAGCCACGAAGCAGATGATGCAGCTGGCGGCCCAGCTCGCCCGTGACGACCTGCAGCAGCTCCCCATCGGCAATGGCGACGAGAACGCGCTCGAGGGTAGGAGGCTCACGCTGCGAGCCACTGCCCACGCGGTGTGGCGTGAGGGCATGCGCACCGCACGACGCATCCAGAGTACCACCGAACTTGGGGCCCAAGTCTTGGATGTGAGCGGTGCCAGTCCCCAGCTGCTGCGCTCGACTGAGGTTCAAAACCTTGCTACATCTTTCGACCAGGATTGGCGCGAGCGCGCCCAGCGTCTTGCTGCTGCTCGTGCGGCCCAGGCTGTCCGCCCCACCTCTGTCGAGCAGCAGAGGAAGATCTGGCGTGGGCTTCAGCGGCGTGCCGCTCCCTGGGCACCTTTTTCCAAGCGTTTGATCTTGCATGGCACCCGTCACGAGCAGGTAGGAACCTCCCAGAGCCCAGGGGGGGGCATTCTGTTAACCTCAATTCAGGCCGTGTGGATGCTTTTCGCTTTCCCTCCTCTCTCCGCCGCTTGAGTTCTCCCCCTCTTTTTCCTCCTCCCCTCGCCCACCGTGACGCCGTGACGCCCCCGATTGCCCGCGCGCCGACCGAGCTCACGGCGGCCCTCCGCTCGCATTGGGCCTCCTGTTTTCTCAGACAAAGCGGTGCCTGATGTTGGAGCATTCTTAGATCGGACCGTGCCGCGTTTCCCGAAAGCCGACCTGCAGATCCCCAGTCGCGAAGCGCTAACCGAAGTCTTTTGTCGCAGTTGTACTTCGGCTCCGGGGCCCGACCACCTCACCCACCAGGCATGGCTTGCGGTCCCATCGACGATCGACTGCCTCAACCCCAATTTCCTCCGCCTCTTCAGTGGCCTCCCTGCTTCTCCCTCGCTCAATCGCTCAATCTTCGCGTTCCCACCAAAGGGTGAGAAAGGGGGCGACGCGCAGGATTGCGTGCGCGATGCTTCGGAGGTCCGGCCTCTCTCTTTGAAATACTGCGATGCTGAAGCCCTGGCGACTGCCATTAACCGACCCCTGGCACGCTTTGCCCGCGAGCGCGTACACGCTTTTCAACAGGGGTTCATTCCAGGCCGAATTTTTTGTGCCAACATTGCTCGCTTAGACACTCGAGCCCGACGCATGCCAATTTCCGTCGCATTCGACATCGAAGCGGCGTTTCCCAGCATGAACCGCGCATGGCTATTTGCTGTTCTGTCCCGCACAGGCCTCTCATGAGGTTATATCAGCGCGATCGCCGGCCTCTACCGGGGTGTTCTGGCTTCGACGCGAGTCGGGGATGAACTCGTCCCACTGCTCCTCATAAATTCGGGGGTCATGCAAGGGTGTCCGTTGAGCGGGACGCTCTGGGCTTTCGGCATGGACCCCATTTGGAGGGGTCGTTCGGTGGATGCGCCGACGATTTAGGTGCCGTGCTCGCGAAGCTAGCGCACGTGCCCGCACTCTACTCCACCTTCCAGAAGGCGGCTGCCTTAGCCTCCCTGCACTTTCAGAAATCGAAGTGCGCAATTGTCCCTTTTTGGGCTGAGTGCACGCCAGAGGTCATGGTGACAATTCGCGAGGAGCTGGCCGGTACCACACCAGCGTGGACCTCGTTTACCATTGTTAGCCACGCTAAATACTTAGGCATTTTGATGGGGCCCGGAGCGACACCCGAGCAGCAGTGGGCAGCATGTAGCCAGAAGTAGTAGAAGAGGATATTGAAAGTGTCCCTCCCGGACTCACCTTCCGACTCGTCCCTCCGCTTCTATGGATTCACGATACACTCAGCTACATGGCGCAATTTTTTCCGCCACAATCAGCGCTCCTTGCCAAAGAGCCTCGCTGTCTCCACAAGCTCCTCAAGCTCCCTCCCAGCAGCTTTTCGGGCCCCGATCTCTGGAGCATGAAAAACTGGTCGCCGGTGGCCTCGCCTCTCTCGATCCCTGTGTATTCGGCGGGGGTTAGTTGGCGGGCAGCCACACAGACGATCGCAGGATGGCAAACGTGGCTCGGGGAGCTCGGAGCCGCTGCTGTTGAGCACGCTCCGCTGGTGCGGGTGGTTCAAAAACTCTGGCCCCCGCCGCGCTGGCAATCCAAGCAAGCGATCGCGCAATACTTCCACGATCGGGCTTCACATAGGGCGTTCCCTAAGGTCCCCTCCGAACCCCAACGTGCGGCGTCCGAGGCCGCTTTACAAGCGGCTGTGCTCGGTCGAGGGCTTCAGGGACGCTTCGTTCCCTCACCCAGTCTCTTTTCCCAGACAGATTGCACCTCACGCTGTCTAAGCGATTGCGCGCTTGGTTCCCCGATCTCGTCGTTCCTCCTCTTGGCCCCCGCTGGCAGCCTCTCCGCGCAGCGCTGGTCCAGACGCGTCCCTCGATATGCTGGTGCACCCTCAAAACCCTTGCAGGTGGCTGGATCACGACAGCCAGAATACACATTATTGGACAGCGTGGATGCGTTTTTCAGTGCCCCGACGCAGGCGATTCGATCGCTCACTACCTTACCTGTCCCCGCCTCCTTCACCTCCTGGCCCTCCCTCGCTCCTTCCTGCCAGAGTCGGTGCTCGTTCGCATCGGTCTGGGTGAGGAGAACGAGTACACGGGGGAGATCTCCAGGGAGCGCTTGATTTGTCTCGTAGCTCTCGCTTTCAAGATTTACGATAAACTACGGCTTTGCCCGCCAACGCAGTATACCAGCAGCATGTTGATATCAAGGAGGCGGCGACACGAGCTTTCGCTGCGTGATGCTGACGAACTTGAGCGCAACTACGTGCGATCATCATCATCATCATCATCATCATCATCATCATCATCATCATCATCATCATCAACAACACCAGCATCAGCAGCAACATCATCATCCGCAGCACCATCATCACCATCATCATCATGAGTATTACCATCATCATCATCGTCGTTATCATCATCATCATCATCATCATCATCAGCAGCAGCAGCAGCAGCATCAGCATCAGCATCATCATCATCAGCAGCAGCAGCGGCAGCAGCAGCAGCATCAGCATCATCATCAGCAGCCGCAGCATCAGCATCAGCATCATCGTAATCATCAGCATCATCATCAACATCATCATCATCATCATCATCAAGACGGACGCCCCCCCAGAGTCGTTCTGTCCCTTCTCGGGGCCCAGGAGGGAGACGCTGGGAGCGGCCAGTCAGGCGTGGCTTGATGCCCTTCCCTCGAGGGTCCCTCGATACCCTTCCGCGTCTATACACGGTGTACGAGTGCGCCCGCGTTGCAGTTCAAGAGCAGGGTCCTGGCATGGAGCTACTTTGTAAAATCGTTCGACTGAGCGTGAGTCGCAGGACATGGAGGTGGAGTCGATTGGAAGACTACCGATGGTGCACTCGGCGAACCACCGCCGCCCCCTGCTTTTTCGATGCGCCCATGTGGCCAAACGTGTAGGAAATTACGCTTCCGAGGAACCCCACATGCTTAATCTAAATCTTATGTGTTTGCCTATGTTTATTATATATGCGCAATTCTGCGTTCTGAGCCCTCGTCGCGAATGTTCCCCTATGTGTAGTTCGACCTTGCCACTGAACTACGAACTCCTGCGGTTCTGTTTCAAGCAACATTATAATCGTCATCACCATCGTCATCGTCATCGCTAGCCGAGTCGAAAACCGACCCGAGGAGGTACCATGATCGTTGGTGGTGGTGATGATGATGACGACGACAATGATGGTGGTGATGATGATGACGACGATGATAACGATGGTGTTGGTTGTGATGATGATGATGAGGGAGGATGACGACAATGATGATGATGATGATGATGATGATGATGATGATGATGGTGATGATGCTGATGATGCTGATGATGCTGATGATGCTGATGATGCTGATGATGCTGATGATGCTGATGATGCTGATGATGCTGATGATGCTGATGATGCTGATGATGATGATGCTGATGATGGTGGTGCTGGTGCTGGTGCTGGTGATGGTGATGGTGATGATGGTGATGGTGGGTGATGGTGATGGTGATGGTGATGTGATGGTGATGGTGATGGGGATGGTGATGATATGTGATGGTGATGGTGATGATGATGTGATGGATGAAGAGGTGTTCTACCGCTGCTGGCGGAAAACCGGGGGGGGTCACTACCGGTTCGAACCCCTCCCCCCCCCCCCCCCCCCGGAAAACCGGGGGGGTCATACCGGTTCGAACCCCCCCCCCCCCCCCCCCTGCCGAAAGGGGGGGGTCACTACGGTTCGAACCCCTCCCCCCCCCCCCCCCCCCCTCCGGGGAAAAGACTACCGGTTCGAACCCCCCCCCCTCGAAAACCGAGTGGGGGTGCGGACAGTGGTGGGGACGGTGTTGGTGGGGACAGTGGTGAGGGGATAGCGGGACAGTGGTGGGGACAGTGGGACAGTGGGACAGTGGTGGGGACGGTAGTGGTGGGGACAGTGGTGGGGACAATGGTGGGAACAGGGGGGGACAGTGGACAGTGGTGGTGACGGTGGTGGTGGGGACAGTGGTGTGGGGACAATGGGAATGAGGTGGAAACAGTGGGACAGTGGAGGGTACAATGGTGGTGGGGACAGTGGTGAAGGCGGTGGCGAGGACGGCGGTGGGACAATGGGACAGAGGTACAGTGGGGACAGTGGTGGGGACAGTGGGGACAGTGGTGGGAACAGTGGGACAGCTCAGTGGGACAGCGGAGGAGTCAGTGGGACAGTGGGGACAGTGGGGATAGTCGGGCAGTGGTTGGGGCCGTGGAGACAGTGGGGAGAGTGGAACCGTGGTGGGAACAGTTCTGGGGACAGCGGGGACAGTGCGACAGTGGTGGGGCCACTGGTGGGGACAGTAGGGGCGGTGGTGGAACCAGTGGGGACAGCGGTGGTGAGGACAGTGGTGCTGGGAACACCAGTGGGGGATGTGATGCCGACGGTGGTGGGGACCTGGAGTCGTTTGCTGGCGGTGAGTGGGGGGGGGGGGGGGGGGGGGGGTGGGGGGGGGGGGGGTTCGAACCGGTAGTGACCCCCCCCGGTTTTCCGGATCCGGAGGGGGGGGGGGGGGGGGAGGGGTTCGAACCGGTAGTGACCCCCCCCGGTTTTCGAGCGGGAGGGGGGGGGGGGGGGGGGGGAGGGGTTAGGGGAGGGGGGGGGGGTTTTGCCGGGAGGGAGGGGGGGGGGGGGGGGGAGGGGGTTCCGGCAGGGGGGGGGGGGATTTTCGGAGGGGGGGGGGGGGGACCCCCGGGTTCCGGAGGAAAATGTTGGCAATTTTCCACAGTAAAGCGGCGGTGGATCACGCTCTCTCCTATGTTGCCATGTCCCGGCGCCTACCTGGCTGCTCCTGGGCCGCAAGGCTGTCCGACGAGCCAGGAGAATCACCCTCGACCTCCGCCTGCCGCACCTTCCGCGCGGCCAGTGCCTCTCAGCGGCGGCCGCAAGGGCGGCTGCCCCCAGCCACGCCGTGGCGCGGCACCTGCCGCGCAGGAAGGCGCGGCGGGCGGAGATCGAGGGCCACGCTCGCGAGGCCAGACGTGGGGCCCACGTTCGGCCACTACACCCTGTTCGAGCAGACCGGGCCGCTGGACGTCCGACCCAAGGGGCACCCGCTGGTGCGGGGCTCCAGCGCGGGCCGCGAGGCCGCGCGCTCGCCGCTGCAGCGCCCGCGCGACCTGGCCCCCTTCCAGAGGACTCGAAGCGACTAGGCGTAAGAGTGACCCTTCGCCGGAGTGGCCTTGAGGCGGGCCCAATGGGGTTCCTTGGTCGCCGAACGCGTTGCGATGCTAGCGTCGTGCGCGCTTGTGTTTGGGGTCCCCCCGCGGCCCCGAAAAGCCGCGCACCAAAGGTCACTCTTTCCCAGGGTCACTCCTGCGTGTAGCCGGTCGAAGGCAAAAGAGCGCGTCATTCACATAAGTTGCCAGAGGTCCGCGCGGGTTTCTCTCGGATCAGCGCCAGACCCCCTTGTCGGTGCCTCTGGCGCCTCCCCTGGCGCGCTCCGCGCTCCAGGGAGGGTGTGCAGAGGCGCATCTGGTGCCTCCCCTGGCGCGCTCCGCTGGACCCCTCCCTGGCTGGCAAAGCGCGTCAGCGCCGATCCAAGAAATCCGCGCGGACCTCCGAATATCTATACCTATGCAATACTTGACGTTTCGCGCATCCCCACCAGCCAATCTAGAAACGATGCCCATGAGAGTTTACGGAGAGTTGACGGGGGAGAGGAAGGGACACGCATAGTCAAACAGCGAGGGAGGCTTGGGAGGCTCCATGGCCATCTCGAGCCGTCTTGGAGCCGCTTGGAGCAGCTTGGGAGCCATCTTGAGCCAGCTTGGGCGATCTGAGCCATCTTGAAGGTCAAGCTCCGCGTCGACTGGTCGAGTGTCAAGGATCGACACCGCAGGCTCCTGCAACGCGACGCCAGACCGCACACCTCCCGCGGGGTCGACAGCAGTGGCCGCCCACCCCCTTGGACCACAGCGGGCAAGGGGGCGGCACGTGCGGTCCCGCCAGATCAGTGGACCGGTGCATCTAACTCAGCCTCGTCGTGGCGTGGATGGCAGTCATAGGGCACGTGGGGGCACCAAGGTGCGTCATGGACCGAGACAGACTGGAAGGCGAAGGGCAAGCGCTATTCTCCCAGAGGAGATGACCCGTACGCGGACAAGCGTCCACGAGGCTGGGACTCCTAATCCAGATGACGGGGACGCAACGAAGGGCCCGTTCGAGACTGGCCTATCCCCCCCAGCTAGCGCGGGAGCACCCACCGCCGTGGTTGGCACCCTCTACTCAGGATTGCCCGCAACCTCGGCATTGGGCAGCTCCCGAAGGGCTCCAACCGTGACGACGCCTCCCTCGAAGGCAGTCAGCGAACCGGTGTTCGCCACGGCCCACCACCTACCGTGCAGCCTGCTGTGTGCAGCACACACCACCTCCCACCCCGCCTCGGCTCCTCTCCGCCCGGCATTCGCCGCACCCCCCCCCCAGACAGTTTCACCTGCAGCGCCCGGCCTTGGCCGCAATACCCTGTGCTACCTCCGCTGGGGCGGAGGGGCACCAATACCCTTGCGCTGCGCAGATAGACAGCCCACGCTGGATTCGTGGACCTTGTCAGGCCTCTCCTCCCCTGCGGCCGACTGGGGCGTCTTCGTCTGCCGCACGGGACCACGGCCACTGCCTCCCCCGGTGGAGGCCACTGCTAGCGCGGGTTCTGGGGTCGTCTGCGTCACCCCCTCAGGACAGCCCCCTTTGGACGGCAGTGACGGGTGGCTGAAATAACCCACCTCCTGCGCCCCACCTCTTTCACAGCACAGTGAACGGCAGTGGTTGGTGACCGACATTACCCACCGCACCACCCTCGCTCAGCCCCACCCCCCCGTGGTCAAGAAGTTCTGTGCATGGATGCCCTGGGTATCTTTATCTGTGTCCAGCGGTTTTTGGCTGCGCCCCCTCCTTCTCTTCCTCTCATTCACAACGTCTCTGCGGCTTTTGGCTGCGCCCACCCCCCGATCAACAGCGTAGAGTGCATCGGGCGCAGAAAAGCGTCCGCCCTGAGACCTGCCCAGGGAGTATCGGCCCCTCGTCGCCGACCCAGCCATGGTTCTACTACAAGGACGCCTTGGCACGTCAGCACGCCGCGCGCGAACGGTACAGCCCAGCAGCTCGGCAGCTGCCAGCCACCTGTATGCCCTGGCGTCGGAGGCATCCGGCTTCTGCATGGGCAGCGTAGCAAGTGTTGAGTGGGTGTGGCTGTCCACCATACACTTGGTGATTGGCTTCGTCAAGTGAGCGGCCCCGCATCGAGTGGTTCAGCCTTCCGCGGTCCAAGTTCGTTTCGCTCTTCTCGGTGCAGCCACAGCCACAGCCCTCGCCTGGACATTGCGTCGTTGTGCCCCCGAACTGCGTGAGTCGGATACGATGTAAGTGGACCGGCTACCTGCTGGTGGTTGCCAGCCTCGTGCACGCACACCAGTAGTCTTCACAGCACAGTGAACGGCATTGGTTGGTGACCGACATTACCCACCGCACCACCCTCGCTCAGCCCCACCCCCCCGTGGTCAAGAAGTTCTGTGCATGGATGCCCTGGGTATCTCTATCTGTGTCCAGCGGCTTTTGGCTGCGCCCCCTCCTTCTCTTCCTCTCATTCACAACGTCTCTGCGGCTTTTGGCTGCCCCCCCCCCCATCAACAGCGTAGATTGCATCGGGCGCAGAAGAGCGTCCGCCCTGAGACCTGCCCAGGGAGTATCGGTCCCTCGTCGCCGACCCAGCCATGGTTCTACTACAAGGACGCCTTGGCACGTCAGCACGCCGCCAGCGAACGGTACAGCCCGCAGCTCGGCAACTGCCAGCCACCTGTATGCCTTGGCGTCGGAGGCATCCGGCTTCTGCATGGGCAGCGTGGCAGGTGTTGAGTGGGTGTGGCTGTCCACCATACACATGGTGATTGGTTTCGTCAAGTGAGCGGCCCCGCATCGAGTGGTTCAGCCTTCCGCGGTCCAAGTTCGTTTTGCTCTTCTCGGCGCAGCCACAGCCACAGCCCTCGCCAGGACATTGCATCGTTGTGCCCCCGAACTGCGTGAGTCGGATACGATGTAAGTGCACCGGCTACCTGCTGGTGGTTGCCAGCCTCGTGCACACACACCAGTGGTCTCTTATTGGATGGTGCCCCGACACCCCTCCTTGACACCGGTGCTCAGCGGTTTTTGGCTGCGCCCCCCTCCTGCCTGAGACCCGCCCTGGTTCGTCGCCGACCCGGCCATGGTTCTACCACAAGGACGTCTTCGCCCGCCGTCAGCACGCCGCCTACGAGCGGCACGGCCCAGCAGCTCGGTAGCCGCCAGCCATCGTTTCGCCACTGGCGTCGGGGCATTCGGCTTCCGCACGGGCAGCGTGGCAGGTGTGGAGTGGGTGCGGCTGTCAGCCATACACTCGGTGACACCCGGTGTTTGGCTTAGTCAAGTGAGTGGCCCTGCATTGAGTGGTTCAGCCTTCTGCAGTTCGTGGTCGTTCTCCTTTCAGAGCAGCCCCAGCTACCAGCCCTCGTCAGTACATTGCATCGTTGTGCCCCCGAACTGCGTGAGTCGGATACGATGTGCACGCACTGGCTACCGGTTGGAGGTGGCTCAGCCTCGTGAACGCACACCAGTGGTCTTCCTCTACTGGAAGGCGCTCTGACGCGGATCAGCCACACTTCAGCTTCAGTGAGCTTTGATGAGTCAGGCCTCTTTCGCCGCACCATCGTTTACCTGGGGTGCTGCAGTGAGTCTGAGTTAGTCGCTCGCGCTCGCACTCTCCCCCCTCTCTTTTCCGAGGTCTTGGACGGCCTGTCCCTGTGCGCACGCGCGTGGGCTTCGCTTGGTCATTGACCATTCGGATCCGCGTTCTGCCTGCGGCTTTACAGTGCCCCGCTGTCCGTCTTGGCCTCGCTTCCGTATGCGGTTCGGCTGGAGCTTGGCGCCGCAAGGGCGACTTCTCCCCCCCGTTCCGCTGCCGGTCGCCGCGCCTTTGCTTCCCCACCTGCCGGGATGTCTGGACCGGTCACCTGCCGACGCTGTCTTGCGTCTCAATGAGGGGCATTTTGTCCTTGGCATGTGCATACGCCACTGCGGCCAATTTACATCGTACCGCGCCCCGGACGTTGTGCCCGCCCCCTGTCCCTCGCCTTGGAGCCGCGAACCAAAAGTATCCCCACCCGCCAATCTAGAAACGATGCCCATGAAGGTTTACGGAGAGTTGACGGGGGAGAGAGGAAGGGACACGCATAGTCAAACAACGAGGACTCCATGGCCATCTCGAGCCGTCTTGGAGCCGCTTGGAGCAGCTTGGGAACCATCTTGAGCCAGCTCGGGCGATCTGAGCCATCTTGGAGGTCATCTTGGGCTCTCTGAGGCCGTTCGGGGGCCTCTTGGGTACCTTTGGGGTGCCTTTTCGAGCCCTCTTGGGGCCTCTCGGGGCGCTCTTGGAGCCCTCTTGGAGGCATCTTGGGAGTTCTGGAGCTCCTCTTGGGGCCATCTTGGAGGCGGTCGGTCAAAAGAGGGGGGGTACTCGATTTCACTCCCCCCCCTCGGAGGCCACGATCCTCATGAGGGGTGTCACAAGTTGGCCATCCCAGGGGCCGAAAAGAGACCCTCCGACACCTCGCGACCCCTCCCACAAAAAAACCTCAGGGAGGGGAGGGGGAGGGTTCCCCTCCCCGAAGGGAAGAGGGGTTGTGGAAGAGGAAAGAAACCCTCGTTAGACCACCTGTCGCCCAAAGGGATGGTGGGATTCTTGCTTCTTCTCCTGAGGAAGGCGGCTGCGCCTGGTTTCACGGCGCACGTCGCTAAGGCTCGGCCAGTCCGAGGGGGGCCAAGGCTTCTCTGGCGGATACACTTGTTCCGATGTCCCGCCATTTTCTGCCTGATCTCGACCCCGCAGAAGAGGCGGGGGTGCATTCGGAGCCCAGTGCAGCATCAGACTGCAGACCTGGGATCCGGGGCGACAGGCGGGCCACAGGGAAGGGGTCGGGACTTCTTGGGGACCCGCGGATTAAAAAGATCGATCAGTCCGTCGGAAGTCCAGGGGGGGGGATCGGGGGCACGCTGGCTTCATCGCGGGCATCGGTCTTGGCCAGGCCACTGCTGGGCGCAGGATCGGCGCACACGCCCCCCCAGCCCAGGCCAGGGAGGCGTGCAGCAGGCTCGCGTCCCCCAAGCTTGAGCCAGGGAGGCGCACGGGACTCCCGTCACCGCGGCGCGAACCTCCCGGAGGCTCGCGCCCGGAGGCTCGCGCCGCGGTGACACGGCGGCGACGCTGGCGCGAGCGTTCGAGCTTGAACGCCGCCAGTGGCCCGAAATCGGCCGACATCGAACAGTCGGCGGTGTCAGAGACCAACGCCGACTGTCGTCACTGCACGAACCTGCCAGACACGCCGACCGAGCTTGGGCCCAGGATCGGCGAAGTTGACACGAAGGGACGGCGTCCGAAGGGAAACGGGCTCCAGACCCCAGGGCCGTCCCCAGGACCAGTTCTTCATCCTGGGTCGTCGTCTCGTGGCGTCCCCGCGGGGCCGTGGAGGGCAGCCCCGGAGCACGAAAACGGCCACAAGTTTTCCGGGGCCCCACGCCTCCAGGACCCCATTCACCTCATGCCGGCCTTGGCGCGCGCCCCCACCCCATGGGCCTTCGGAGCAGCCGGCTCGCAGGTGCGCGCGCGGGCGCGGGCGCACGTGGCCATGCCCGGGTGGGCCTCCGCCTCCGACCCCGCGGCGGTCTGAAGCTCGGGGCGGGCACGCGCCGCGAGCGAGCGGAGCGGGCGGCAGCCGCGGCAGAGCAGCGGCGCTGTTGGGGGGGAGGGGGGGGGGCGGGGGCGGGCGGAGCAACCCACTTCCAGGATCGCCCTTCCTGGGCTCTGGCTCAAGCTGCCCCCTGAAAAGGAGGGAGCTTCGGCGGGAGCTCTGATAAGACGCTGAGCCGCTGGAGCCCGAGTCGCCCAGGAGCTTGAGGGGGGGGGGGAGGGGCAGGCGCTCAAAAGGGGCCGGAGCGGGCGGCGCTGTTGGGGGTGCTGAGGGAGCATGGAGGACTTCATGCGACGGCTCTGGGGCGTCTCAACAGAGAAAATGTCGATCCGATCGATGTGGTTCAGTATCGATTCCGGCCAGAGCTGGAACGGAGTCGATTCCAGTGTTCCGACGATCCGACGCGGCCCGATGTTTGCAAGGCGTTGTTGTGCATATTGGCGTTGTCGATTCGAATTCGATTTCGAAGTCGATTTCGATTTCGTGCCGATGCAGCCTGATCCGACGCACACGCCGATTCGACCCGATTTCCCGATTCGATGCTGGTTGATCCTGCCTTAACCCCGTCAGTGGGCCCAGCTTCGCAGTGTCTCCATCTATGGCAAACATCGGGGCTGGTGGCATGGAAGAGGGAGGCCTGGGCTCTCGAGGAGGGGAGGAGGAGGGAGGAGGAGCAGGAGAAGAAGGAAGAGGAAGATGAGGAGGCCCAGAGGATCGAAGTGTTCCATCCATCTCCGAGGTCGGCCCTCCGTCTTGAATGAATGAGGCCTCCAGAAACGAAGAAAACGCGCTTCCAAAATGGACGGGCAAAAAACTCCCGAATGACGGTCGAACCTCAATTTGGCAGGTTCTCGATCCTTTGGCGAGGGAGGAGCAAGACGAGGCGGCATGGGAGGAGTAATTAGTGAGGACGCGGGTGGAGGTCTGCGCTGTTGAGGGGCGGAGGCCCAGAGGCTCCAAACACTTCCAAGATGGAGATTCTACCTCTGCTCTGGAGGCGTTCCTCCTCCATTCTGGAGGTCTTTTCCCCCCCACCCTGGAGGTTCCTAGAGAATTGAAGCCTCGGAGAGGGACGGGGATAATTATCATGCTTCGCCATTTCTTGAGTTTTGTGTGAGTTTCAGGATTCCCCTTTTTTTGATACGCGTGTGTGCTTACATGTTTGGAGACGTTTTTGACTTTCTTGAGATTTGCTGGTTTGGGTGAGGCCTCTAGGGGCTTCTGGAGACCCCGCGGAGCAGCAGGAAGAGGGAGGATCTGCCCGCTCTCACAGCTGAGGGACTTCGCTTCTGCACCAATCCTGACGCCGAAGGCTAAGGAAGGGAGGAGGGAGAGAGGGCATCGCGAATTTTTCATAGAAGATTTGAGTTTTGCGGATTCTGATGCGTCCCTCTGCGCACTCGCGCGGACGACGCCGCATACCACGGCCACCAGCCGGACCAGGAGCGAGGCGCGCAGCGCCACCGTTCGGACAGGCTCGCCGCGCGACGGCCCGGCAGACAGGGGAGCGACGCAAGACGCGTGGAAAGCGTCCTTTGAACACCGCCCGCAGGTTGCTCAACATCCAAGCGCGCAGACAACCACAGGAGGCACCTGTGCCAATGTCAGTGTTCACGGAGGCTGAGGAGATGTTGGACCGGAGCCGGATTAGAGACGAACTACAAATTTTAGGCATACCAAGCTCATCGATGAGGAGAACGCTTGTACGATTCAGAACGAGAGGTTGCAACGGTCTTGAACGGCATGCGTCATGCGCCGATGAACTTCCACAGCGCGCTCCAAGCCCGTGCCGTAGTCTCTACAGGCCTCTTGGAGGCAGCTTTGAAGCGTGTTGGCGGCCGCCTTGGGACCTCTTTTGGGCCTCTTGGGGCTTATTGGGGGCCTCTTTTGGGCCGCTTGGGGGTTTCATGGGGCCCTCGGGGGGCGTTTTGGGGCGGAAGGGTAAGATTTTCGGTTCGCGTTCTCCCTCTTGGCATCTTTTGGGACCCTGTGTGGGCCGTCTTGAAACCTTCTAGGGCCGCCCTAGGGCCCTCGTAGGGGCCTCTTGGGCAGTTTAGGGGCGGTCTACTGGGCATCTTGGGCCGTCTTGGAGCGTTGGAAGCTCGAGAAGAAGACAACCCCATAATCAATGTTAAAAAAAAACCATAGGGAAACTGTCAAGTATTGCCCGTCGGGGCCCTCTTGGGAAGGCTCTTGGGGCGTCTCGCAGGCGTCTTGAGGCGTCTTCGAGCCAGCGTAGGCGTCCTGGGCCAATCGCCTCGCGAATCGGGTCCGTCTGGGAACGTCTTTGGGGCCACGGAAGGGAGATTTTGGAAGCTCCAGAGTCTCCGGGGGCGCGCTGGGGAGCAGGAATTCCCCCAACAAATCCACCCAACCACTCTTAAACTCGATATTGGGCCTTGGGGAAGGGGGAGGGGGAACAGCCAATCATCTCACACGCTTGCCATTCATCGTTTGCTTACTTTGTTGGTCGTGTTCGCAATGCAGATCGGATTCCCTCGAACACGAATGCCCCGCTGCATGGTAACTGATGAAGTAATTACGCGGACATTCCCAAGCCAGACTCCTGGGGCCCTTTCACTTTCGACAAAACCTTCAAATAGCTTCAGGTGGAAGGCAAACTAGCAGTCAGCCAGAAATGGCACCAATATGCAGTATGGCAACATGTCAGACACCAAGGTTCGACGGATTGGCGCGGAGACTTACGGGCTCAAGCCTGGCAGGCGGACCACAGACATCACAGGTGTCATCAGACAATTATTTCATACAGCATGGACGTTTTCATCCTCATGTGTACCAGCTGGCCGCTCTGCGGTTGATCGGAAGCTTCTGTATATAGAAGAACGGACTTGCGCTTCTGGACGAGGGGAGAAGACTAGAGCCCCAGGCTGGGACACGCCCAGCGCGATCCCCAGAAATGGTCGCCAGGGGGTCGACTTTGCGAGGATGTCTCGAGCGAGAGCCCCAGACTGGGACACGCCCAGCGCGATCCCCAGAAATGGTCCCTGGGGGCACGGTGGGGCCCGGCTGTCTCGCGCGCCGGGGGGTCGACTTTGCGAGGATATTTCGAGCGAGAGCCCCGGACTGGGACACGCCTGGTACGATCCCTGCAAATCGTCCTTAGGGGCGCAGCGGGGCCTGACTTTCTCGCACGCCAGGGGTCGACTTCGCAAGGATGTCGCGGGAGTCTCAGACTGGGACGCGCCCGGTGCGATCCCCAGAAATGGTCCTTGGGAGCGCGGCGGGGCCTGACTTTCTCGCGCGTTGGAGGTCGACTTCGCGAGGATGTCTCGAGCGAGAGTCCCGGACTGGGACACGCCTGGTACGATCTTCGGAAATGGTCCCTAGGGGCGCGGGAGGGCCTGGCTGTCTCGCGCGCCGGGGGTCGACTGTGCGAGGATGTCTCGAGCGAGAGCCCCGGACTCGGACACGCCTGGTGCGATGCCCGGAAGTGGTCCCTGGAGACGTGGCGGGGCCTGACTGTTTCGCCCGCCGGTGGTGAGGATGACGTGAGTTCTACAGAAACTCCCCCAAATAGTATGGGTGGGAGGAACAGGGTCACCGACACCCTAGACAACTTGGCGCGCAGGAGAAGGGAAGGCATCATGACTTTAATGGCAGTGGACCGCATGTGGATATCGGGAGAGATGATCGACAAACACAGCAGCACGGCCACCAGCATCGACTACACATTGGGGAATGCAGAAAGCAAATTTGGGCCAACTCACACTCTTTCAGAGCTCCAGGCATGGTGAAAGATAAGCTCGACGCCTGACACTGGGGCCCCAGAGCATCAGCGTCACACGGCGCGTGCACGTGGCACTTGACAAAGGACCTCCTTCACAAGATTTGGACCTGGGAGCACCGATGGTTGAGGCGAGCATTACGCTTACGTCGAAAGCCAGACGAAGATCACGTGGACCATATCCGACGAGCGGCTGCCCGGATAAAGCAAAAATGGCCGACCACCAGCACAAGCCTTTCCACGTGGCCGCTGTGGGGGATTATCTGGCCGAAGGTTTCCGAGAGCAGGGTGCTAGAACGGGTGGTTCCATTATTGTCGGGCGGGCTCGCTCCTACACTGCACGCGACGTGTGGATGTTGGTGCGGGAGGCGCCTTCCAAACGAAGACGGGCGGAAAGACTTGCACAACAATCCGGCGGGCTCAGGGCAGCATGAGAAGACCCTCTCGTGGAGCAGTTCGGCTTGGATCGGCGTGGCCAGAGGGATGCGCATACACGGGTGGATTGGGAACGCTGGGGCAAAGTGTTCGTTGCCCACGTTTGCACACGGTGGAAGACACCCGTGCGCGACTTCTGGAGACGGCGAAATCTTAAGGCAGCTTCTAACAAAACGAAATTGGACAGACCACAGGCAGGCGAAAGAATGCCTCGAGTTCCGAAATCTGGAGCCCGAGGTGAGCGAGCTCCAAGATACACTGGCATCAAAAATATGTTGGACATCGCCGTGCTGACACTTTCTCTACGCGACAGATTCCAAATCGTTAGACCAGATGGTACGCGGGGTCCTACTCTCCACGACAAGACTTTCGACCCTCTGAACATGGGCAAAGGGTGGTGTCCTTCCCAGTCGTACGGACACCCTGTCCAATGGTGGTGGCGCAGCCACAATCGCGTCGCAGACGGGCTGGCCGACCTCATCATGGACAAGCGGAAGACATGGGAGTCACATTACGAGACGACCGCCGTGACGCTTGACTGTTCCAACGTGATCATCCAGACACTCGTTGGGCTCCTGTAGGGGCACTGCGCAGCCGCGGCGTGGATCATCGGCTTTGCAGGCGCTGGAGGGATGGACGTTTGAGCTGTTAGTTGCGCACGGGATTTGTTTCGAATTGCCGTGTATTTTTTCCGAACAGACGCAACATTTTTCGACGCATCATCGTCTGAGTTTGCAACAATTGTGGCCGTGTAAAGCTGGTAGCCAAATTTGAAACCTAGGTTTCCTGCGCTTCATGGAAGAAAGAAAGGGTATCGGCATCGGTGAAGCGATGTATACGCATCGGCTTTTGCAAGAGAGACGGCAACTGCAAACATCATGAGTACAGGTCTTTTCTTGTTCCACTTTCAAATCTTCACGCCCACGCTGCAGGGCATGACGGGGCCCCCCGTCGTCGTCGAGGAACCGCGGCCGACGTAGAGGTTTTGCGAGGGCTCTCTAATCCAGGCCTCAACATCCACCAGACGCGAGTCCCTAGAAGTCATTCACGAGCCCTGGCCCGCGTCGAGACACCTTGCGAAAGGCTGGAGCCACTTCCTTGTCGGGGCTCGCCCGCCGGCGGCGGCGCGCGCAAGGGGGGGGGAGGGCCCGCTTCGTCCAGTCAAGCGCAGACACCATCCTTGCACGGACGACGAAGGGGGGGCAGCTTGCACTTGAGCCAGAGCTCACGGCAACGGAACAACAAAGATGATGGCCAATGTTTGGGAAGATGGTGAGAAGCGCGTCGACGGTGGGCCCCCGTTGGCGTTCCGATGACCTCGCGGTGACGCGATGCGGGGCTCAGGACTTTGCGGGACTTCTGCGCAATGAGCCGGAAGTTTGAAAATCATTGTTTTTGACGCAGGGGCGCTACGGGACCCCAGTACCCTAAGATCCCGCGCATCGATACTCTTGCTGGGATTCTGCGGCGGTGCGGGGGGGGGCGTTGGCTGCGTTGGGACAGTTCCCAGAAATCGACCCCCCTTGCGCGCAAGGTCGCAGTGCCCTGCTGCGCCCCCGCGGTTGATCTTGAAACGTACAACTGAATAGCAAAGCGGGTGTAATGAGATCGCCCAGGGAGAAGACTTGCGGGGAAATGGGGGCGCTCGCAGGGGCTGGACCAGCGGCTGGGCTCCAATCAACGGCAGCAACTGCATTGAAAAAGTAGCATGATCCGAGTATGCTTCGTCAGAAAGCTCACACCCTCGGGGTATACTGGAAGCACATTGACAGGCTGAAACATTATATCAGTTCACGAGCATCACATGTGACTGGGGCATTACATCCAATTGCCTGCTGCAAACCCCGCCACCGCGCCTGTGCAACAGCGCTGCAGGACGGAGACCGACTGTAGGAACAGCTCGAGCCTGACAAATGGTATGATAAGGACGGGTCGTGAACTCGACTTCGTCCTCGCCCGCGCGGTGGGAAGGAGGTCGAGTTTACATCCCGCGGCAGTCTAGCGAGTGGTATGAGATTTGTATCGCCGTGATCCCGACATCATATTCGTCCGCGCTGTAGGGTTGAGGAGGAGAAGGAGGAGGAGAGGCAAAAAGATGAGGACGAGGAAGGGAAAACTATTTGGGGCCTTCTTGAGTCCCTTTGGGAACCTCCTGGGAGTTTCCTGGAGGGCCTCTTGGGGCATCTTGGGGGCCTCCTGGGCCGTCTTCAGGACGCGATTGGCCCGTCTGACGCCTTCGGAAGCCGTTTGGGGGACTTCTCTGGGCCGTCTTGATCCCCTCTGGGGGCGGTTTAGGGCTGTCTTAGGGCCCTTTTGATAGCCTCTTGGGCGAGCTTGGCGTCCTCTTAAGCCGAGTTCGGGGGCCCATAAGCTGTCTTAGAATGATGTCGGAAGCCCCATTAGGCCCTCTTGGGCGGTCGGAAACCCAAACAGGCGAGAACATCAACATCCTTCAAAAACCTAAGGAAACTCAATGTGTGTGTTGTTTCCTCGGGCTCTCTTGGAGGGCCTCTTGGAGTCCTCTTGGGCCGTCTTGGGGGTCTCTCGAGGCTCTTGAGCCGCGTTGCGCCATTTAGGGCCGTGTTGGTGCCGTCTTGGCTATTTGGGAAGCCGTCTTGGAGGGGTCTAGGAAACGGGTAGAACAAACAACAAAAGCACACACACACACAAAAAAAAAAAAACGCACACACACACACACACACACACACACAACACACACACACACACGTTCAAGACAGCAGCAAGCATTCAGTCTAACACGTCCACTTTGTGCAAGCACGGTGGCGGATTGAACAAGAGATACTTTCGGCGAACCCGGAGACAGACCAGAAATACCTCTTAATCGACAGACTAGGAGGCTTGATAATGAGACATCAGGGCGGCCCACGACAAGAAGGCATGTTGAGAAAGGATTACATGCACAGCACCTGGCCTCGGAAGTACTGCTTGCGAACTCCTCGCAGCAACAGTAGTGACATGCGGGACAGAAGGCATTATGGCAGATGCCCGGAATTCTTGGAGAGGCGATTGGGCGCGGCCCATGACAAGGAGGAGCGGAGGGCAACATAACATTATGTGTTTGCTCTCTGCAAGCCGTCGCAGGAATTCATGATCCCGCCTTGTGGGCCGACCCTCCTGGTGCCACAATGTATCTGCAGCGACCCTGGGCACCCAGGTCTCAGGGCCAACGCGAGTCGTCGTACTCGAGCTGGGGCGACTTGCCTCCATAGACCGCACGAAGTCACGTACTCCTCGAGCGTAAAACATGAAATCGCCGATTGAGCCCATGTGTGCTCGCGGTCTGTATGGTCGGCCTGAATCCCACAGGCCTGAAGGAACGCAGCTCCACGCGGAAAGTCTTGGAGGCCCTATGGCATTCGCCACTTAGCTTCTTGCTCGACGAACTGGATCGCCTTCTGCTGGAGGAGGCGGGAAGGAATGCTCGCAACCTTGCTTGTGTCGAGGAAGCTGGAGTCTGCACGTAAGAGTCCGGGGAGCATTCCCATGAGCTGGTTTCTTGTTCCTCCACACACGTAACTTGCATGAGCTACGGTTAGGAAGCGGATAGCATCTTCGTCCTCGTAGCTGGAGCACGTAGCCGCGAAGTTTCATTCGCGGTTGTTTTTTTTTTGAACTTCACCACGACCGACGTCAACCGAAGGGCATGCTCATTGGCGGAGAGTGCTCCTTCTGACCAACCTGGTTGCCTTTGCGTCCTGAACTGTTCAAAGGAGCCGTTGATCCTCAGCATCGTAGGTGCATGATCGCTGGCCACGACGAATGTCACAATATGCCACAATGGATTCATTGCCCATGTAGTGATCCCGTTCAGGGTGACGTGTGCCCACGGAGAGCCGCATGTCCATGTTGAGATGTGGCTGTCGGGCTTGGAATCATCTGAACTGAAGGTGGACCGTGCGTTGGAGAGCAGCCCACCAGTAGGGCGCGCCCAGGGATCAATGTTGGTTTCCATGTCCAGCAGCAACGTGGACTTGTCGAGGGGATCTGAGTGGAGTCTCCCGAAGCGTTCCATGCACATGGCCCAGGTGCCCATGATCTTGTAGAGCTCTGGCGAAAAACAGATCCTGGCCACTGCCTCGTACATGTCGCATTCATTGCCACAGTGAGTGTCGTAGGTCAGCTGGTCGACCTCGTCACGCGTGAACGGCGCAACCGACGGATCTAGGATTATCAGCATCTCGTAGGCGGGCATGTCGGGAGTCAACCATGTGACCATGTCCGCGTCGTCATTGTGGGCCCCTTTCGACCGTTTGTTGCTTGCCGGCATGTCCTCCCTATCTGCATCCTGAATGTTGATGACCATGTCCTCGGGTGTGCTGGGAAGGGTGTCCGCGTCCGCGTCGGGAAAGGCCGGTTCATTGCCTCCTGATGGGCAGTCACCAGCGATATCATTCTGAAGGGAGTCACGCTGCTTGGGTTCGGCTCGCGGCTGGAGTCGTTCTGGTTGTATGGAGGGCGTGTTGTGCCTGGCACCGTTCCTG